CAGATATGATTGGCGTTTATTTACATTATATATTCGAGATTCTTATGTTTGCTGGAATATAGGTGCACATTTTTTTGTTAGTAATGAAGATAGTGATACTATAGCTGTGGCATTAAAAATAATAAGAGCTATTTGTAACAAATGGCATCCTACATATATTCTTATGGATCAAAACAATATTGAATCCTCTTTCTCTCTCTCTTTCTCTCTCTCTTTCTCTCAACAGTATAAAAAAAGTTTTTTTAGGTCTTCAAGCAAATGAAGCAGAATGCAAAATAATTTATTGTATGTACAGTTCATGTTATGAGAACATGGATGTTAAAAATTTATGATAAAAAAACAAGAGACATTATGATTGGTGCATTATATAAAAGAACAAAAATTGGATGTGAACAATTTATTCAAAATGCATTACAATCTTGTCTTATACCTGCAATTTGCAATTATATTAAAAGAAATTATTTGAAAAATTCTCATCAATGGGCTCTTTGGGCACGACAACATTCACCATTTCTTCTACAAGTTACATCAACAAATGCTTTAGAATCTTTTCACAGTGAATTGAAAAGAACAACTTCTGTTTTACATGGATTAATTGGTATGTATATATTTTATAAATTAAAATTAAATTAATAAAATTTTTTTTAAAAAAAATATATATATATAATATATATATATATATATAAATTTATATTTTTTTATATAGGATCATCTTACAAAATTGTTGCTCTTAATCAAAAAAAAAAAGTGCAGAATCAGAAAATACTACATTTAATTTCCGTATTAAAAAAATATCAGTATATGGTATAGAAGATAAAATATTAGAAGAAATACATAAATTTCCTTTTCCAATCCAACAAATGCTTATCAAAGAAGCATCTGCAGTAATGGGTAGAATTGAGAAAGATAAATGTGTACCAGGATTAATTTCAAATGAATGCTATTGTATATTTTATACTAGATATTTATTGCCATGCAAACATATATTTCATGAGCATATATATGGAACCCCAATATTAACTAATGATGCTTGGAGAAAATTTCAAGAATTATTTGAAGAAAATGGATTTGAAATCTATGAAAAAAAGGAATTAGTTATTATAGAGTCATCAGAACAAACTGAAGAAGAAAAAAAAAAAGGAAAATCGACGTCATATTGTAAATGAATTAACAGAAAGAGTGCGTAACAAATATTGGAGTAATGAAGAAATGGGTGAAAAACAAGCAGAGATTTTTATTAATAAATTAGAGGAATCTTTAAATCCAATTATTAATAATTAATAATGTAATTCGTTAAATTTATAAATAAATAAATTCAATTAAAATTATTATTCAATTATAAAATTAATATAATTTATTATAATTAAAATTTTGATAATTATAAAGTTACAAACATTAATAAAAAAACTATAAATATATATTGATCGGTTTTAAGTAAAGAATAAATAATTATATTTTAATTCCTATTATCTAATAAATAATATTTAAATAAACTTTAAATAATATATAAAAATTTAAATTATATCCAAATAAAAAATAATTATTTTTAATTACAATTTCTATTATATCGTAAAAATAATCTCCAACCTATTTTTTTTGCCATGCATATATTTGATATAAAAAATAATGTTCTTTTAAAATTAGGGATCTAAAAGAATATTGGTAAAATATATAAAATAATTTGTAATTAATGTTAAATAAAAATAATTTTAACAAAAATATTTAAATTCATGAACCTTTTTAGCTTCAATAATTAAGAAAGCCCAAAATCATGTAAGTCGTGTATTCATTGTTTAACTTACTATTGAACTAGAGATCGCGGAAAAAAATCTCTATATTTTTGTGAAAATGATTACTTATTCGTGAGAAGTTGGAAGTATTTAAAAGTAAATAAACTAAGAATTAAAAGACACAAGGTTCCAGTGAATAATTTTATAAGTCTATATTCAAGTTTACTCATAAATAAAGTGTTTAACGTTCGTAACATAGTCATACGGAACATGTGATACGATCAAGTCTCCGCATTAATCCGAGATCAATCACATGAATTATGCTCCGCTTTAACCCACCCCCATATTCGGATCTTCTAAATCCCTAATCCGATCTCCGAATTCGTCATAGAAGGATATAAAAAAAAATTTTATATCTCCCTGATCAACGGATCAATTCGAATCCTTTTGAATCCTTTTCAGATCTTTTTTTTTTGGATTCGATCCGATCCGGATCCGTAACAGTTCAATCCGCGGATCAACTAGGATTCGAATACGAGTATTGCCGATTTTAAATTAAGATATATATTTATTTTAGTACGATTAGTACGATTATTAATTTAGTATTGAAGATATGAGATATTAGGATATTGTATCGAATATATAAGAATAATAAAAGCTAATTATTATTCTTCGATATGATAATGAATAATAATAAATTCGTGAAGCGATTCAATATTATATTATTAAATAATTTATGTAATTTTTTTTTGTGCATAAGGGAATCTAATAGTAAATTTAGTAAATTGTAAATCAGATAATATCTTTTGAATTATTCCTTTTTCGGAAAAGAATGCAGCCTTTTCCTATTTAAGAGAAGAATGTCGCTCGGTAATTAAAATAATTAGTTGACTTAGTCGACTAAAACTTACTGATAAATATTATTACTTTAATATTATTACTTTAATATTATTACTTAGCTACTTTTACTACAAGATAAAGAAATTTGCTATACTTTTGGATTCTACCATACATATCCCGTGCATCACAAGATGAACTTGGACTTATATTTCCTTTAATAATTCTATTCCATCTATATCTCAACTGTCTCAACAGTGGGAGAAAGAAGAGTATGAATAAAAGTAAAGAGGAGGTAAGATATACCTCACGAATTTTGGTTGTTAAAATAGGTGCGGATTGCTTAAAAATCGGATTTGTGATTAAACAATGAAAATATTATGATTTGATATAATAAATAAATTTGACTAAATATCAATAACATCGTTGAAAAGTTTTTAATTAATAATAAATCATTATTAACATCATCATGTTTTTTTTGTTAATTAATAATAATAAAAATATTATAAATAAATAACATTGAACATAGTTATTAGAACCCCCCCCCCCCGCAGTCGAAAATATTCTATTACCTAATTGTTGGATTTGCTAAAATATTTTTCATAAAAATTTATTTATCGATTTACTATAATGTCCCTCGCACATTTTAAAAAATAACTCAACTAAATGCTGGTTACATTATGATTGGCTTCAAATAAAGTGGATGTTCATTATCGGGAAAATAAATGGTCAATATGAAGTGATACCCTATGATATTACCACAGTGATCAAAGAGAAGATGAAAGTGAAAGTGTAACTGGAGCGGTCATAATAAAGATTAAAATGATTACGCAATAATGTTAGTTGATTTTGACGTGGAATTTAATTTATGATGTGATGTTATATACCTGTTTAACAAGAAAACTCCCAAAGTTGCTAAAAATTTCGGTCTTGTAAATAATACTATCTCATGACTCAATAGGTTTAATTGTATTGAGATAAATATAAAAATTAATCTTTTTATCTATTCATATTATTTTTTTAAAAAAAAAACTTCCACCTACTTACTTAAATACTAAAAATGCCATTCCCAGAATGCGATCAAAAATATAGTATAACTCAACACGTTTCAAAAATAATTTCGATAAATGGAAAAACAATAAATAAATTTATTCAAATGCTCAATTAATGAAAAAGTAATAGAATAGATACCTTATGGGATTTCAAGATATTAAACAAATAGCGAAAGGTAGGTTATGGTACTATTTATTATACTGAAAATCAACAATGGAAAATATACGAAGTGGTATTAATGGTATGATTGTTTTGCAATATTTTAAAGGTGGAAGTCTTAGATAAATAAATTGGATAAATAGTATAAATTATTATCCCAATAGATGATGATTATTTGGATACGTCTAATTTATGAATTTTATAAAACGTTATTATAAAATTATTGAATTTTTTTATTATTTATAAATTTTATAGAAAATTTTTAGCTTTAGTCAAACTAAGCCAAATAAGCCAACTAAGCGTATTTTGATTTATTTAATAGCCGTACCAATACTTTTCGAACACTAGCTCGAAGTTCTTGCATTCTTTCTCGAAAAAGAAATGAGTAGTAATAATTTTATTAATTCTTCGAATTATTTAGTAATATTTATAATCTATTTATCTATTTTTTTAAAAGTAATAAGTACAAATGATAATTAAAATCATTAATTAGCAGTAAAGTTTATAACTAATAAATGGTTTATTTTTAGGGAGTTCAATATTCATCATTTATAATGATTTAAAAAATTTTGACGCTCTTCTAAATCCACCCGATTAATTAATTTCTTTTCATTCTGTTATTGAATAAAAAATTAATTTAATTATTTTATTGTATAAAATGAAATAGGAACGGATCTATAAATATAATTAAATAAAAACGGTATAAATATGCAGTATAATAAGAGAAAGACTAAATTTTCCTTCCAAAGTTGCTTAGTTTGGTTCTTCGAATTCAGGTTCCCAATTCAAGACTAAAAAGTTTGTTTTAATATAATTGTAATCGATTATTTTTATTGTTTATTTTTATAAATTCAATATTACAATAAAAATATTATACACTACGTGAAACTTCTGAATTGAAACTAAATATAAAAAACCAGATTTTCTTTCTTGTCAATTTATTCTAGTACCTAAAAGAAATTATTAAATTATTAGATAAAAATAATGATGTAATTTATTTTTGAACTGTATTTATTATGCTATTGATATAGATCAATATATAAATGATATAACTGTAGAATATAAAATTTTAGAAATGATATTTAATTATACAATAAAGTTATGAAATATAAATAATATATATAATATATAATTGATTCTTTAAAAATAATGAATATGCTGTGAGTTATCAAATGCAAACGAATTGTCAAAACTTAAATTGGGATATCAAAATTTAATTATTTATTTTCTTCTATTCTCAAAAATTATTCCAGTGCTCGGTAGTACAGCAAATGGTCCAATATTTTTTTTTTCATTTATCTTTCCACTTTCCGTCTTAAGATGATAATTCAAGATTAATTTATGCAAACAAATTTTAATTTCATTAACAGCAAGAAATCTGATTAAAAAATTTATAACGATAAGGTTAGTTTTTTTGAAAATTTTATAAATAGAAAAATAAATTTAAAAATCCAAACCTTCCAGGACAAGCATGTTTTCCTGCACCAAATGCAATATAATTTTTATCAACTGATGTAGCAAGTTTTTTATTGTTCAAACCGTAATAAGGAAGGAATGACTTTGGTTCTGATCCATATAGTTTGTCATAATGACTATCATTTATATAAATATAGACCATACGACCTGTTAAATATTCAAAAAAAAAAATATATATATTAAATTTAATAATATTAAATGAAGACAACAAATTATAAGTATTTTCTAAATGATAAAACCTTTAGGAATTGTCGTGTTATTTTTAAATGTAAATGAATCGTCCATGCATTTATGTATAAGGCCAGCTATTTTTTTAACAAAATTTTAGTATTCTTAATATTTACTGTATATAAATCAAAAAAATTTACAGACCGATATCACCAAAAGACCTTATAGATTCTCTTACGAGGCTATCTAATTTCACCATTTTGTCAATATATTCAAGTGTTAATACTCCATTACATTCCTTATCAATTTTTACTTGTTCTTCATAAAGATCATCCCATAGTTCTGGTCTTCCTGCAAAATCTATAAAATTTATTATAAAAATATAAAATATAAATAAAATAAAATTATTTATAAAAATATAAAATACTAGAAAGAAAGAAAATATCTTTTTTACCATAAAGAGCACCAGCAATTTGACGTGAAGTAGAGTGAACGCTGCCAAAAATAAGTACGACTAAAACTTCACAGATGTAATTTAAGTATTCATCAGTAATAACAGTTGTCCCATATCCAGGTTCATTCAAATAATATTCAATTACATCTAACTATTATTATAATGAATAGAATTAATAATGTTGAATCATTTTAATGTTTAATTGTTTTTTTTAATACTTACATGTTTTTCATACTTATCGCCAAGAATTTCTTTCTCTTTTAATCTTTTCTCTAATACAGGTCTCATATACTTCTTCATAGTATTAATATCTTTTCTGACAGGATTCCAACCAAATCGAATTGGTAAGGTAGAAACTTGTTGATGGACTTTTGGATGAATAAATGAGAGAAAGGGAGGTAATGAAAAAAATGTTCCGAATTCTGTGGCTATATTGGCAAAAGCGTTGACGATATCTTCATGTTTTGCTATTTCCTTTGATATAATTAAAGATATTATAAGATTTGTTAAAGAGGTATTAAAGATATTATGAGAGATATTAAGATATTATGCAGTTATATATATAATAATTTAAAAATTTTATTTTACCTCTCCAACTACCATATTAGCTATCGGACGAGCAATAATTTTTGAAAAAAAATTCAGTCCGTTAATAATAACTTTGGGATCTAATAAAAATAATAACAGATAACAACAATTATTATTATTTATTAAGCAATCTTCCCAAAAAATATACCATAAAAAAATGACTTACTAGGACAATCTCCAATTTCCTTGTTAATAGCAATCATAAGTTGTTCTTGCATTCTTCCTGTATATAAAGATAATTTTGTAGTAATTTCTTCACGTACCATTTTGGAAAGATGTGGTATGTTACTAGATCCATTTACCCTTGGTAAAAGATGATGCACAGGTAACATCTATAATAAACAAATAAACATGATATAATTTAGGTATACATTTAATTGTTAATTAAAATAAGATAAATAAATCTTTTTTGTTTACATCTTTGTTAGCTTCATGCAAATCAAAGGAATCGCCGGCTTTAAAAACTTCACGAAGAGCTTTGTTTCCAGCCACAGTAATCACCTGACCGAATACGTGAAGATTGAAAGTATCACCGTACTATGCAATTTTGTTAATTTATTATTTTTTTTAACTCTCGATTATATAAGTATACTTTATTAATTTACCTGTTTTCTGCATTCAGAAAAAAACGTTTTGGCATTAAATACAAAATCAATTGTATGGCCAATTATTGGAATTTTATAAGGAACCAGTGGAGGTTCATTCTGAATTAAAAAAAAAAGAAAGAGTTTCCGAAATTAAAGAAAGTTATTAAAAAAATACAGAGAAAAAAAAAATTCCTTACTTTACACAATCTTGGCTCCCTAATCCAAAGAATAACGTAGATAACTATGAATCCTACCACAAGGGTTTGAATTGTTTCAAAAGAAAAATACATTTCGAAAAGAAATAATTTTTTTCACGAATAATCATAATACTTTAATCATTTCATTAGAAAGAAATGACCAATTTGTAAAATTCATTTAGAAACGATCGCTTGTCGGATATTCTGAATCAGTAAATTTTTTTAGGCGTAATATTACGTAGTTTTACACCATTTACAAAAAATCCGTTTTTGACTTCACTCGCGATTTACGTAACAGAGAGTGATTTTCTACTAATATAATTTTGAAGTGGATCAAAAGCTCTGGTTCCTGGCTACATGACCATATATTCATTTCTGTATCTTCGATATTCATCGAGATATTCACGTTTAAAGTCGGACGTCCATGCAAAATTTCTCAAAAAATGTCCATAAATTTTTGTTGAAAATTTTCACGGACGTCCGACTTTAAACGTGAATCTTTCGATGAATATCGATGCTAAAGAAATAAAACGCATACTGCATGTATCCAGAAACCAGGACTTTCGATCCATCTTAGAAGCACCTTAGTAAAAAATCGTTCCCTGTAGCGTCAAACGCGAGCGAAGTCAAAAAAACGGATTTTTTTACTCCTCGAAAAATTTCCTATTCGAATTTTTTTAAACGATCATTATATTTGCATGTATACTTGTGGCCAAAATTATTAATTATCTCGAAGGTCGGTGGTTTTTTTATTTTTACTTAATAATAATAAATAAGAGAATTATGAACATTATTTTCTAATTCTTGTTTATACTTATAATTTTTTATATTTTACATATTTGAATTTTAAAATAAAATCTTAATAAAACTATTATTGCATTATTACAATAATTTTTATATTTTAATTATTAAAGATTAAATTTATAATATAAAAAATCTATTTTTTTTTTGACTTTGCTCGCGATTTTCTACTATAATATTTCTATGATAGATCGAAAGCCCTGGTTCTTAACTACAAGATGAAATATATGTTTCATTTTTGTAGCACTGCTGTTCGCCGAGATATTCGTGTTTAAAGTCAAACGTCCGTGAGAACTTCTACAAAAATTTTGTAGAAGTTTTCACGGACATTTGACTTTAAACGCGAATATCATAATTAAATTTTGGTATATAAAAATAATTAAGGCAGCCGAAATTATTTTCGGAAAATACAAAAACAATTAAGTCAACAAGTATATCAGATATTCATGCTTTATTGAATTTTTTTTTTTTTTTGTCATAATAAATTAATATGAGAGATCTTCGAGAATATTACTGATCTGCAGTCATTGCATATTACATTTGAATTATGGTACGCACGCCAAATGTTATTTTAATGTCCATTTATATCACGCAGATCGCGAATTAAGAATTTTTTTTCAATTTTTTTGATCTTTGTAAAAACGATTTAATATAAATAATTGAAATGAAGAGCATCAAATAGATTTCAAATTTTTGGCCATCTCCTCTTCGAGGTTTACCACCACAAGTTGCACAAGTCATGATATCTAAAGATAAAAAAATTTACAGACTAATTATATGTATATGTTTAACTGAGGTGTCATCTTTGGCTCAGGTGTGCCTCAGATGTCACCCTTTGGCCAGAATTATAGAACTGGCCTATGTAGATTTTATGTAGATCTTTATAACTTCAGCCAACCCTAACCCTAACTCTTGCACAACATATACATTAGAAAAAAATGTGAATTATTAAATATTTTAGAAAGGTGAAAAGGACATCCTTATATATAACTAAGTAAATTTATATTTTTTAGCAAACGTGAGCATGAAGTAAATTCCTTTGTATTTCTGCCATTCTTATCCTACTTCATTCACCACCTCATTCACCGTCTACTTTACAAAAATATGAATGTGAGATTTATAAAGTCTTGGAAAACAGTTGACCTGTAAACTTTTAGGAATCATAAAAAAATCATAAAAAAAATGCGTGACATTATCATAACTAGAATTATATATGTACGTTAAAGAACAATTTTGGAACTTGGTCAAGTGGGAATGCTAATATTGATAAGATTATCCAAGAATCTCAGATAAAAATCCTACTTCATCTAGTCTACAATGGATACCTTATGATAATTTTCATGATATTGATATCAAACACATAGTTGATTGTGGATATTACACTGTGTATTTTTTCTAGGTTAATAAATAACATAAAAGATAGTTGGGATTTTTCAATTGGAGGCGTTGTTTTAAGGGAATTAAAAGATCATAGATATGATATTTTGGAATTTATATAAACTTTTATTGCTAAAAAATATTTTATGTATTACCTAGTTGCGCACTTTTTATTATTATATTTCAGATTAGAATATAGCAATTGAAAATTGTTATTAAATTGCTAAAAAAATTTTTTAGAATTCTTCTACATTATTGCTATGGAATCACATGATTCTACCATTCATAATTTTTTATTTAATATCTTTCTAAGTATTGGGTAAGAGGTTTACTACATCAAATAATAGTTTTTATACGAAAATAACTTAGTTCATTATGATTTATATCTTAGAAATATTTCAATGAAAAAATTTATGATTTGATTTTAAGCCCTGATTACAAAAACAGTAATGTTTGTGGTTCAATTTCATATGGGAAGTGAATTTACAAAGGAGAGGGATATTTATATGGTGCAGAAAGTCTAAAGACATCAAGCCGCTGAAATTTTGTGGTTAATATGTCATATGATTTATTATATAAATGCTTGTCAAGTACAAAAAAATTTATATGAATTTGAACAAAAAAGAGAAAATTCAAAAATTTTGAGCAAAAAAAAAAAAGAATTCAAAAATTTTGAACAAAAAAAAAAGAAAACTCAGGAATTTAACTTATTTTAAGATTATATTTTATTTAATATAATTGTTAATTTTGAAATTTGCAATTCAGAATGTAATGATTATATGTTATATGAAAAATATGAGCAATCTGAAAGAATTATTTACCGCTGAAAATTTTAGGTTTAATATAAAAAATACCTTTGTTTAAACACCAATTACGCAATATATTGTTATTAATTATGGTAAAAAAAATACATTAAATTGTAGAACTGATCTAGAGCTATCAAATAATGTATTTAATTTTTTTAATTCTATATTTGGATGCAAAGTTTTAGTAGTCTAAAATAAGTGATAAATATTTTATGCCTTTAGACTTTCTGCACCATAGCTTTGGTGGAATTATGTATGTATGAAATAGTCACATTTGCAGACCAAGCACATTGATGATTGATATGTAAGATATTTCAATTCTGGGGAATGATCTCCTTCTAAAACGAATTAACTGATTTGATGCTTTTTAGAACAGTTACAACATTTATGAATTTATAAATGCTGAGGATAATAGAAATAAAATTAATAATCTCATGAACAAAATTTACTTAAATCTTAATGTGATTTTCATCAATCCTGTCCTGTTAAATTAGTAGACACATTTATACTCTATGAATTGCACGATTCATTAGAATGCAAATCGTATTATTATAATAAATAATTATTCCCAAATTTTACATCTAAATCACGTTTAAATAATAAACCTGATATTTTCAACTTTAAATTGTGATTCCCAAGAATACATTAGTTTTGATTAAGAATCAAAGACTAGATAATGATAAAGCATTTAAAGGAATGAATGTATTTTAAAAAATTTAATATTCTTTTTTTTGGGAACAAATTTTAGAAAATCACTGGTTGGTGGTGATTGTCACCACTGGGCAAAATTAAATTTACGTGGGCAAAGTTAGGGTTGATCAGGTGACAATGTTTATTAAATTTTGGCTAATATTATTTTCATTATTATCTTCGCCATTATTGTTTCATTATCATCTGGAAATTTTATAAGGCGGATATTTTCAAAAGTTTTCCGCTCACGATTTACGCGACAAGGACCGATTTTCTACTAAGGTGTTCCTATGATAGATAAAAGCATCCTTTTATTTATTATAGATATACCTTATTAGAAAATCATTTCCCGCCGGAGCGAAGTCATAAAAACGTAAAAATTTACGTGGTATAAATATTCCTGATGATTATCTTTGTCATTATTATTTTCATTATTAAAAGCATAAAAAAATAGGGCGCATGCAGAACTTTATAAATCTTGTACCCTCCCACTAGCAATATCCCTTTCTCTTTCAATGAAATGTATCTAGGTATAAATTGGTTAAGTACCTTAGGCAGAATATGGTATATTGAAAAATAAATAAATATTACTTTATAATTGTAAAAGATAATAACGAAAGGCGATGATAAAAGATAATAATGAATATATGATATTATAGTTATATGATTTTATTTTGTATTAACCATAAAATTCCTTAATTTTTTGTTTTAAAAATAATCGTGCATTTTATTTTTCTTTATTAATAATGATAAATATATTATTATTTTTGGTAGAAAAGAACATACATATGTGAGTTTATACATAGTAGAGATATAATAAATAGCACTTGATTTTCAATTAACTATTTTGTTCATTTAATTTCATTAATGCATCAATTATAAAAGTTGAAAGTTAAAATCATATGGATTTCAGTTTACTTTTGCAAAGTTTATAATCCGTATAATCACGTAATAAATAGTAAAAATATTAAGACAATAATGATTTATTTTAAATGATTACATACTGATCTGCTTTAATTTAAATAAAAGCTATACTCTATAATTCAGTGATCAAATAAAATAATAAAATATAAAATGTAATAAATAAATAAATAATTTTAGAGAAAATAAAATTAAAAAGTTGCACAATAATATCAAGATTAAAAAATTAATTTTTCTGAATTTCAATTTCTTCAGTTATGCAAATTTAAAGGTTATTAATTCCATTTAGGTAATAATATTAAAAGAGTGATATAAGAAATATAATGCTCACTTATGTCATCAGGAACTTCAAAATCCCATTATTTTGTATCTAAAATAACTAATTAGTGTAAATATTTTATATATAAAAATGATCATTCATTTATTGTTAAAAAATATATAGGTACTTACTGTGTGTATTAGTTTCATTATTTCTTTGTTTTCAGAAAAGACAAATGT